CTATGGTAAAATTGCTTAATTATTACAAATTAATTATTTTCCCCGTTAAAAATTAAATGAAGAATAAATTTAGATCAGGAAGCATTAAAAAACCTATTATTCTAAATTATTCATGACAGAATATATTTTTCTTCATTATTTATATATGCAGAAACTGTATATTTTATGCGTTTAAACAGAACTTGTATTTAGATAAACATAAAACTAAATATATCAATAATATCTTAACAGCAAAAAATTATAAATATCGTTAATATTTCAATATCACATTTATTTTAACAATATATATCAATATCATTACATTATATTACATTATATACGCAATTTTATTAACTGACTACAAACATTTAAAAATAACTGCGTTAAAATCTTTAAAAATATTGTTTTAATGGAAATTATCATTATCTTTATTTTAACATCATCAAATGCTCCGTAACAAACCTAATTCAAGTTATTTGAAACGCGAATTTTTATAAGAAAAAATGTAGAACTATAATGTAAATATTTAACAAGTAATATTTTACTGCATATAAGCTTCGTAGTGGTTCAAAAAAAAAATAAAAAATAAAAAAANACAAAAAAAAAAAAAAAAAGGATAATATCTTACAAAAAAATTCAGGACAAATCAGGTCGTTTTTTTTGGTTCAATACAAACACATTTGATTGGGCCGGGGTAGCCTGATTGGTAGGGCGCAGGAATCTAGATTTTTTTAATTTTGCTAGATTTTTTAATGGGAGTACGGGCACGCGTACTTCCATTAAAAAATCTCGAAACCTGAACTTTCTTGACATCAGAAATACATTCTTGATTTTAAAAACAAATCGAAATGAGCTTTCAAAAATTTGATATTAATAGTTATTTTTATGCAGCAATAAAACAATTCAAAACTAAATCGTATGCTATCTCAAAATTGAAGAATAAATGTATAGAAAAATAAATAAATCATAAGAGAGTAATACATCATAATCTGAAATTAAGGACATAAGATTAAGAAACTAAACCTTTACATAAACGAAAATAAACAGTTAAAAGCACTTTCATTTTACCAATAAATGAAATGAAAAGTATAAGAATTTAAAAGAAATAAATGTTTTCAATGCAATCTGACTGGAAATTTTTACACAAAAATGCTGTTTATCTTTAACACCACATTCTAATTAGCAAATAGGTCTTATTTAGAAAATAATTTCCACAGCAGAATGCTGAGTTTATTTTTCATAAAATGACCAAAAGTTTGAAACAAGATTAACAACTTGAACAATTTTGTTAAATTGAGTCTTACGATTTTTACTAGCATTATTAAATTTAAAATCAAAAAATGGTGAACAGAAAACCCTAATCTTTCGATTTTTAAAATCTATTATTTTTAAGACCTGTACTTGTATTCTTAGAAGTTGGGATGTTTTTAACACGTTCTGGAACTTGTATTCCAGTACAAAAAGCTGAAAATAAGGACAAAATATTTCTTATCAGCAAAAGCTGGGCAACTACGAACCATGCTATATATTGAAATGATATACTTAAGCAGGGAAAGAAATGCTACTAAAATGATTCAAATTATCTTCAAAATGAAAACAGATCTTAACTTATTATTCTTAAAATTTATTATTTTAAAAACTTGCACTTGTATTCGTAGAAGTTAGAATGTTTTGAACACGCTCAAAGTTCTGGAACAAAAAGCAAAAAATAAGGACGAAATATTTTTTATAGGCAAAAGCAAGACGAACCATGCTATATACTGAAATGATGTACTATAGGGATGGAAATGTTTCTTCAAAATGAAAACAGAATCTTATCTAATTATAATGTAGGTAACGACGTGTGTATATAATAATTTATAACGACGTTATAATTTAAAGCGGAACTTGTAAAAATATTTTAATTCAAATAAATAGCATAAATTATGTTTAATAATGAATTGCCTCATATCCCGTGATTCGAAGCGGCCATCGAGTATCGAAAGTAAACGAGTAATGAACGCACCGAACAGTTGAAAAAGTTCAATAAGTTTAGTGATCATTTCTATAAGTACAGCTGAAAGTTTATTCTCAAAAAATGTGACGTTTGGATTGATTCATTTAAATGTCTATTCATTAAAAACAATACTTCAATTTTCACTTTCGTTGAACGTTTATTTTTAATGAAGCAGAAAAATCCTCCATACTCAAAAAGTAAAAAATAATGCACTAGAATATTTGTAAGTGTTTGATGAATTTTACTTGAAATTTAATTTATGCATTTATTTATGAAAATAATATTTTTTTCTGAAATACAGTGTATTTTAAGCAAAGTGCTTTGGCGTAATTTATATCTTGAGATTTAAAAATTAGCAAAATGAGATAATTAAGTAGAGTGGTTAAAAACATTTAAACACTCTGCATTCAGTACTGTACTCTTGAAGGCAACTTCTGTGCAAATAGTTTGACTCTCAGCTGAGAAGCACATATTTTGAAATAAAAGGTCTTGATTTGGGAACAATATAAGTTGATAATAAAAATGACGTGGTTTAAAAGACACACTCAGTTTCTATCTTCTTGTTCTGGCAGTAGAGTTTCATTTTATTGTAAAGCATTATTGATGGCAGACCGGTTTCACCCGCTGTTACCCCTTCGTGCTATGTATTGTGCTGTCATTCTATTTGACAAAGCTTAAATTGAGCAAACAAGCCTGCAAATCTGTGTAATTCCTATAAACAATAAATAAACGATGGCAGATCTAAATATGATTGAAGAAAAAAAATTGTGCCTTCAGATATCATACTTGATTGTTTAGCAATATAAGGTACTGATAAATCATGGTTGATATTTACATATGGAGAAATTATAGAGACACGAAGCGAAAAGTTGCATTGATTAGCGTCTTACAAAATCGTTTAACTATTATCGTTATGCATGGAATAAATCAATTTTGCTGGCTCACAAATATTAATGTACATACAGTCCCTGCCAAATTATTAGACGGACTATCAGATTCTATGAAAAATCTCAATTAGCAGGTGATACTTTATTGTTTTTACAAGACTGAAACTGGTTTGCACTTGTTTATGTTCGCGTATTAATTGGTTAAATTAGGCACTATATAATTCAAATTCGACAATTGAATAGTTTAGACGATATATTATATAAATATAGAATATTTAATATATCAAATAATATATTATATTGCAATAACTAGATCAAATTATTAGACGTATTTTAGTTTCTTAATAATGACATGTTTTGCACGAGTTTATACGCAATACTTTTTTATTTAAGCATACAAGTAATGAGTTTTTATATAGGAGATTTTATATATATATATATATATATATATATATTTATNTTTTAATCATAGGATTTTTATTTATTTATTTTTTATATATAGCGAGAAAGAGAACTATTAACTATAGTGTATAAGGAGCTATTTCTGATGTTTACTCGAATAGTTTTGCTTTTCGAAACGAACAAGGATGTCTTTTACAAAACTTTCTTTGCGTTTTTTTGTTTCTTTCTTAAGTATATTTATTTAAGTTTTTATTGCTTAAATATTAAAATACATATTGAATAATTAATAAATATATTAATCCAAATTCATGCTCTCGTATGTGTAGTATCGAAATTGAATAAATGAATAAATTAAGAAATAAAAGCCTATTTGACACATTTTATCAATAACATTCGTTGAATATAATATTTTATTTCAATCTCTGTTCTAAAATCAAAATAAAATACATGCTTCTTATGATAGAAACATATTTTATAAGGAAAATCATCTAAAAAGTATGAATGAAACTTTAGGATACGTTTACGAAAGTTCTTTGCATTTAAACATCAATTGCTCCGTTTTAATATTTTTCATTGTCATCAAATTATTTTTCATTGTCATCATTAGTTATTTTTCATCATATATTATTTAAATTAAGTATTAAAAATTAAAAAATATTTATTTTTATCACGAAATTATCTTTTGGTTTCATAAGTAGATGCAATTTTTTTAAGCAAAAAAATCTCTCTGATTTAACGGCCATCATTTTTAGAAAAAAGTGATGCCATAATTAAGCAATTAGCATGTTTGAGCGCACCTATTAAAAATAAAACTTTAGTACGTAGTGAAAATACAACCAACAGAAGAAAAGTTGGTTGGAGTGTTTTTGCACTATATTTATATATTTATTGTGCATTTAATTTAAATAAATAGTAAACATTCATAAAAATTTACATATATCCATTATTTTTGTATCGAAATTTGTAATTTAAAGATTGCAAGATATTCGTAAAATTAAACATAATTAAAATCAGGTTTAAACAAATAATATATTTTAATTCATTAGAGAATACTTTTCTTCTCTTGAATAAATAAAAATATTGTAAGTTCAAGTGAAATCATCATTTCTTTGGAATAATTTATTTCATATGGGATAGAAGGCTAAAAAGAACTAAACTGAAAATTCATTAAAATTACGTGTCTAAACCCAGTTGTATAAGAACTTCCATTCTGATGGTCGTTTGTATAAGAAATTTGAATTATTTTATTTCTTTATCTTTGTTTCTTTCTAGAAAACAAGTTTGTTTAAATTATGATAAAAATCTCAAAATATCGACTGATTTTAATCATATATTTGCAAAAACAAAAAATTAATTCACCGACCAATTTGGTAACAAAAATGTCTGAAAGAATCAATTACTCACTAATTTGATTTCGAAGCTTTTATTGTGGAATTTTAATCGTAGGATTGTAACTAAAAAGCCTAAAAGATTCAAGTACTCATTAATTTGATCTTCTAAAGAAGCTTTTCTTGTGTGATTTTAATCATAGGATTATTTTATTTATTTATTTTTGTTTCTTTCTTGCAAACAAGTTTTTTTTCATCATGATGAAAATCTCGAAATATCGAGTGGTTTTAATAATATGTTTGCAAAAACAAAAAATTAATTCACTGACCAATGGTGAAAAGAGCCAAAATACTCCCTATTTTGATCTTCTAAAGAATCTTTTATTGAGTGATTTTAATGGTAGGATTTCAAAGACAAAAAATTGATTCATTATTCAATCTGGTAACTAAAAAACCTAAAAGAATCAAGTACTCACTATTTTGGCCTTCTAAAGAGGCTTTTCTGGTGTCTGAATCTTCCGAATTATTATCAGAAGTGGATGAAGAAGAAGGATGTAAAGACAAATACATTCGACTTCCTTTTTGTTGGTCACTTTTAGGCACTCTTTCACCACCTACAACAAATGAAGGCTGCACAGATTGTTTTGGTGGATCACATTTTTCGAAAATTTATTTTCTATTTTTTACACAAAAGATTATTAACAGAGATATTTGTAATAATTTTAAAAAAATAAATAAAAGCGTAAAAATTTTAAAAAAATAACATTTCAAACTGTTGATCTAACTAAAATTATTCCGCTTCAACTAAAATTGTTTAAATTAATATTTTGAATTTTTGTTTAAATTAGTATATTTTAAATTTTTGATATAATTAAAATTATTCTGTAAATAGCAGGGCGTCCTAAAGCTCACCCAGCAGCAGATCGATAGGTAACAACTTAACTAAGAAATGTGTGCAATGAATAATTAAAATTATTCTGAAAACAGTAGGGCGTCCTAAAGCTCCCCTAGCTACAGATAGATAGGTAACAGCTTAACTGAGAAATGTGCGCAATGACTAATTCAAATTATTCTGTAAATAATAAGGCGTCCAATTTGATATTGACTTAACTTCCACTACCCCTAGCCCCTCCCCCCTGATAATTACGAAAATAATCCTTTTCACTCTGTTTTAATACTACTAACTAATTTTATTTCATTTTGAATTATAAAAAACAATACATAGTCATCATACTTTTTCAGTTCCAAATACGAAAATAATCGGATATGGTTACGGAAATAATTCTCTTCACTCTGTTTTAATATTTGTAACTAATTTTATTTCATTTTGAATTATAAAAAACAATACTTAGTTATCATACTTTTTCAGTTCCAAATACGAAAATAATCGGATATGGTTACGGAAATAATTCTCTTCACTCTTTTTTAATATTTCTAACTATTTTTATTTCATTTTGAATTATAAAAACAATACTTAGTCATCATACTTTTTCAGTTCCAAATACGTAAATATCCGGATATGGTTACGGAAATAATTCTCTTCACTCTGTTTTAATATTTCTAACTAATTTTATTTCATTTTGAATTATAAAAAACATTACTTAGTCATCAAACTTTTTCAGTTCCAAATAAGTAAATTATCGGATATGGTTGCGGAAATAATTCTCTTCACTCTGCTTTAATATTTCTAACTATTTTTATTTCATTTTGAATTATAAAAAACAATACTTAGGTCATCATACTTTTTCAGTTCCAAATACGTAAATAATCGGATATGGTTACGGAAATTCACTCTGTTTTAATATTTCTAACTAATTTTATTTCATTTTGAATTATAAAAAACAATACTTAGTCATCATACATTTTCAGTTCCAAGTACGTAAGTAATCGGATATGGTTACGGAAATAAATCTCTTCACTCTGCGTTAATATTTCTAACTAACTTTATTTTATTTTGAATAAAAAGAGAACAATACTTAGTCATCATACTTTTTGCAGTTAGCATAGAAAAAAATAATTTATAAAATTAAAATTTAAAATTTTATATTTATGATCTACGCGTCATTATTATACATCATCATATTTTTATTATAAATGCGCAACAATTACTTTTCTTAAAGATAAATTTCTTATAAATATACTAACTAAGCAATATTTATAATTTGTTATTTATTGATTAAACAGCTCAATTCGAAGGAGATAGTGTCTTAAATAGCGATAAAAACTAAATATTTATCAATATTTCAATTTATAGTAAATAATTAAAAATTTATATATTTTTGTGGTTTCCAAATTATTACTATATATAAATTAATTAATTATTTTAAATGTGCTTATCAGAATAAACTAGAATGAGTAAATCTAAAACTTGTAAATCCATACAAGTGAATTTCAATGAACTAAACAAATAAAAATACTTTTCTTTTTACTGCACGGAAACATTGAATGTTAACTGAATTTAAGTTCTATAAATCAATTTTCGTGAACGAAAGAAATAAATTTTGTTACTTAAAACTACAATGTTCTTAGTAAATGAAATTTGTTCTATCACAAATGCAAATTTTTCCAGAAAAAAATAATAATTTTGTTTGAAATTAATTTGGATAAATGACTTTTAACTGTGGTTGCAATAAAGCGGCTCGTTTCAGAGAAAATAAAATAAAGAAAAAATTATCGATTAAATAGTTGGGACACATACCTCTAGAAAAAGATACCCAAGTTTAAATTTCCATCAAAACATATTTATGGTTTCTGTTTGTTTCAGTGCGATTCATGATGGTCCAACATCATTTGATGGTCATCATCATACAACATTTTTCATTATATGTTCATGATTTTGATATGCCGCAAATTTCCATCATTCGAAGATGGGAAATGCTACTTTAATACTATGATGGTTAACCATCAAGAGAGGTTTGACTCTCATGGACCAGCAATTCATGATGATTCATTATGGTCAATGATGGTTCCAACTATACATTTCCATGATGATTTAATAGAAATTCTTGTTGGTTCACAGGAATATACCATCAAAACAATTTCGTTTTTTTTCTGTTGGGCCATCATAAATCAGTCCAAATTCCTACACTGGGATGATGGTTGTTCATGATCATTCCAACATTTGATTTCTAAGGTACTATGATGGAAATTCATGATGGTCCAAAATGGTGCAACAGAGCATTTCTATGAGGGTTTAACAATAATTATAAATATATCGGTCATTCAGCAGCCATCAAAACCTCATACCATCAAAATAATTTCATTTTTTTACATTAGCTCATCAAAAATCAGTCCAAATTCTTACATGGTGGTTCAAGATCTTTCCAACATTTGATTTCTAAGAAACTATGATGGAAAATTCTGAGGTTTCAACATCAGCAAACCATCTAAACAAGTTGCTATTCTTATGTTGGAATATCATAAATCAGTAAAAATTGCAACATTGGGGTGATGGCTATTTATGTTGGTTACCATCAAAAAAATAATGGTTCGTGATGAAATTGCTGATTATGTTGGTCCATCAAAGGAAAAGCATCAAAAATTTAGACTTGGGTAGAAAAGATTGTATACTTATTTGAGAGTTAAGTTGCGCTGCACATAAGTAAATGGTTTTCTCTATAATAGGAATCGATATTGTGTGTACCCAAATAATTGTGTGGAGGAGCACTTAATTTCAAGCTCAGAGTTCATATGCAATTTAAAGTGTGTGCTTAAATAAAGACACCAAGCTCACATTCATATTCAAAAACACTTATTTTGGTGAATTTTGGGTACACACAATTGAGTAAGAAATGATTGTCTTGCTCACTGCTATGGATCAACAAAAATAGAATTTTTCACTTGTGTAATATTTCAATTGTATTAAATATTTTTATAATACCCTATTTCTATTTGTTTCTCTTCTATTAAGCCTAATTCGTCGTGTTCTTCTTTTAAGCCTAATTGTACTATGTGTATTTTTGATTTACAAACTAATTTTACTCAAACAATTAGTGCGTGTATAAATCCTAATGTAACAGTTTTCACGGTAAATTGTGTCGTAAAAATAGTATTACTGACTCTTATATGCATCATATCGTATTCTTATAATAAAGTTTAATTCGATTAGTGCTACTGAACACCAATCTTCATAACTCAAAAGGAACATTCTTTGTGTTTCACTGCGTCAAGATCTGACCTCGATCTTTGATTATTCCATTTATTACTTTTTATGTAAACTAATTGCCACCATTCCTTGTTAAGATACATTAAGATTATTAAGATTAAGATTTTACAGTGTAGCTTTATTAATTGTTAACGTTTCTACCTCAAAAATTGTGTCCGTGAAAACAAACTATTTAAACAGTTTTTCTTACACCAAACAGGGATACTAAACAAATAAAGATATTCCAATGACAGAATTTTCGTTAACCTGAGTAGTTCGAAAGATATACTTAGTTAGATAAAAAATAGTTATCGCAATACATAAAATTAAACAAAGAACAAACATGCATTTTTTCATAAGGTGTGGACATTTTCTTCAAGTTTTATTTCTCTGAACATATTACCTTACCTCAAAACTTTGTTGTTGATTTTGTATTTTTCGGGTGATCTTGAAAATTTTTAACGCAAATCAAAGAAATTTACCACCTATGATATAATTTCATAAAAATAAATTAAATCACAATAATTTTTGATACTTCTATAGTATTATTGGATTTAATGTTGATGTAAAGTACCTTCAATGTTAGAGTAAACAAGTTTTTAATCCTCGTAAGCAATATAATAGTTAATGATAAAAACCAAAATGTCAGTGATGCTGTGATGTTGTTATTTTTTAAACTTTACTCATCAAGAACTATTTAACTAATTTTATTAATTCTAAAATGTGAACAAATATATATTATATATATATATATATGTATGTCACGGCGGAAGACCGAAATCGGTGGCTGTTGACTTTCACCGGTGAATGTCGACAAACACCAAATACGTCGGTGAAAGATCGAATATTTCATTACATTCTTGTACATTCGGACCCTCACCGGTGTATGTCGACAATCACAGATATGCTTTGGTGAATGTCCGAAATATTTATTACATTCGATTTGTTATGAATTTATTCGTGGATATATATTCGATATTTTGACCCTACACTGATGTTTTTTTTAAGGTCAAGTGCCACTGCCCGGTATAGATTTGCGCGGTATACCCTATACTGATGTTTTTTAAGGTTAAGTGCCCCTACCCGGTATACATTTGCCCGGTATACCCTACACTGACGTTTTTCTAAGGTTAAGTGCCAATGCCCGGTATACCCTACACTGATGTTTTTTTAAGGTCAAGTGCCATTGCCCGGTATACCCTACACTGATGTTCCTACACTGATGTTTTTTTAAGGTCAAGTGCCACTGCCCGGTATACCCTACACTGATGTTTTTTAAGGTTAAGTGCCACTGCCCGGCATACATTTGCCCTGTATACCCTACACTGATGTTTTTTTAAGGTCAAGTGCCACTGCCCGGTATACCCTACACTGATGTTTTTTAAGGTTAAGTGCCACTGCCCGGCATACATTTGCCCTGTATACCCTACACTGATGTTTTTTTAAGGTCAAGTGCCACTGCCCGGTATA